TATGTATGTATGTATGTATGTATGTATGTATGTATGTATGTATGTATGTATGTATGTATGTATGTATGTATGTATGTATGTATGTATGTATGTATGTGTGTTTGTGTGTATGTATGTATGTATGTGTGTATGTATGTATGTATGTATGTATGTATGTGTGTGTGTCTGTGTATGTGTGTATGTATGTATGTATGTATGTGTGTGTGTGTGTGTGTCTGTGTATATATGTATATATATATATAGAGAGAGAGAGAGAGAAAGAAAGAAAGAAAGAGTTCAAATAAAAATGACAAAAAGGTCAAAAAGACAGAGAATATATCTCGACCGTCAGTAAAATGATGTAATTTAAAATATTGTTACAACAGTTTTTGAAAAAAAAATACCTCGCCCCTCCATCTTTTAATTGAAAATAGACGAAAACGTAAATAAAAGAAACGGTTTCAATGTTTTTCTTTCGATGGATAATTAAACGGCAAAAAGTTTCTAACTTAGGAGGTGTTTGAGATTGCTTATAAACACAACTTATTGACTTATTCTTGTGTGGCACCTGTAATAAGCGCTTTTGGTTGTTTAGATAAACAACTTATACTCGTGTCAAACCGGTAATAAAGAGTTTTTGAAGAAGTTAAACCATTCTGACTTATAATTAGTTGATAAGGATTTTTGTAGAAAATCATAAGTTGTTTCAAATAAGCAATCCCAAACACCCCTTAATGATAACAATATCTTTTGTTTTATTGTGTTTTATTATACGATGCGAGTATAATTTTTGTCATGTTAAACCAAGTCGTTGTCACGAATCCCTTCGATTGTTCTTGTTTTTGTTCTTGTCCAAATATGGTTTTAAACCAAATCTTTGTTAGATTCATCAAACCTGCTACGTTTAGTGGACGTTTATCAAAACACTTACCGGGCAAGCACTAAGATTCTTGTCCAGCAAAATAGCATCTTATGCAACAATCTTGCGTTGATAAATGTTTACCTATAAGAGTCATCACCTTCACTTATAGAATAAGACTCTCATTCCTTACCTTAACCAATTATAAAAAGAATACGAGAATTACTGGGTTTCTTTCATTTATATATATATATATATATATATATATATATATATAGGGATGCGATCAAATGCAAACCACTCAATTTGTACAAACCGTGCAAACCGTATTCAACCGATCATAATTTTTCATTTTGTTCATTTTTTTGTAATTATGAGAGGTTGATTAATCATTTTTATTGTGGAGGGTGTTAATCATAGATATTATCATCTTCATTATTTTAATTTTAGAGAAATACATGAAA